GGCAATGTAGGGGAGCCAAGGATCCGCCCAGTTGGGCAATGTAGGGGAGCCAAGGATCCGCCCAGTTGGGCAATGTAGGGGAGCCAAGGATCCGCAAAGTGATAAAAAGGGCTGAAATGACAATGCAGTGTTAACGGAATCTCAACCAGCAATGTTCATCCTGATACATCCAAAATAGTACTTTGTGACACAGCGGGACACTTGGATACCAGTCCTGACCTGACTGGAACTGACCTGACATCTCGTGATACTTCACACATATTAGAAGAGGGGGGGATATACCAAACTGTGGAATGCCGTAATGGTACAAACAGAGCAAGGACCGACCTCCCTCACAGAGTATAAGATAGCGCAGCAGAATGCTAAGATATCAGAGATCAACCCAACCAATGTTGTGACACAGATCCAACGTTTACCATCATTGTTGCAAGGTGGGAAAGGCCTGGCGCCATACACAGAAGAGTGTGCCAGGTCCAATCATACACAGACGAAGAGAGGGAGGAGTAGACGAAGAGAAGAGGGGAGATGGGAATGTTGCCAACACCAAGTCTTCGGTACAATTCCCAAATCATCCCTCGTCGAATGTCTGAACCCCAATGTCGAGTCTGGTCCAAATGTCGTCAAGTCTCAAAGTCACAAGTCCGTCTCTCTCGTAGTCTGCAGATACTGAGAAGTCAGGTAGCGAGAGGGTAGAGAAGAGATGGTGGACTTAGAAAAGGAAGAAGAAGAACTCTCTCCCACTCTCTCTCAGTCCGGTACTAACCTGTGAAGTTGGCGCCTTGATGCAGGTACCTTGAAGATGAAGCTGGAGCTATGGCGCCACAGGTAAGTCACTCTGGCCTTCGCCAACCATCTCTCTCCAACACTACTCTTAACGCTACTACTACTAGCGCCCAGCGCTGAAGACTACAGCTAACGCTAACGCTGCTCTCCTGCAGTGCTCCTCCAGAGTGCTGCTGCCGAATGCTGAAGACAACTGCCGCCTCCTGAACTGCACGTGAAGTGCCTAGGAAGTTCCCACTGCGGGCCAGTCTTATATAGTGCTGGCCCGTCCAGGAGGCTGCTCTTGCCAATGCCAAAACGTGCCAGACCCTGGAGTTGAAGCTCAAAGAAAGGTTGTCTTGAAAATAGGCCAAAAATGGCCTGAGATAAAACCCTTGTCTGGTGCCCGAGTTTCAGGGCAGGTCGATCCGATGAGGGCCCGAAAATGGCCCTCAGTTTCAGGCTGAAAAGACTCAGGGCCGGAAAGGCCCTGATTTAGGCTGAAACGACACAGGGCCTGTAGGCCCTCGTTTTCAGGCTTTCAGGCTGAAAACGACACGGGCCTGAAAATGGCCCCTGCAGCCTGTTGCAGGCGCCACATGTAACATGAAGGAGAGTTATTGCAGGCGCCGCATGTAACATGAAGGAGAGTTAGTGCAGCCATAGCTGCTTCTAGTTAGTGGTAGTTGGCGGCCATAGCTGCCATAGCTAGTGATAGGTGTGTATGCATGTGTGTTACAGAGTGTGTGCGTGGAGTATTCAGGGTGATCCAGAGTTGAGTGTGCGAACAGTGGTGTTGGACACAGTGACGAGAGTTGGGATGTACAGGCGCGTATGCGCCATAGCCTTTTGAAGCGAGTTTGCATCTGAACTGTGTTCTCGGATTCCATATCTCTGAGCTTTGAGTGGGCGCCCTAGCGCCAGTTTGCTTTGCCATCTGTTTGCATGTATGCGAAGTGGAAAAGAAAGCGAGTCTGATTGCACAAGTATGATGCAGAACCTAGAACCGACCAATATAGAGAGCAATATAATGCAGCGGAAGACTTGAAAACATGGTTCGGAACTCACATCTGACTCGGACTACACACAGGCTCACACACATACATACATCGGGTGAGAAGGCCTGGCGCTCAAACATAGAAGATGCGCCAGGGCCTATACACAGCACGCACGGACGAATGTAGGGGGGAGAGACGAAGGGAGGAGGAGGAGATGGCGCCAACACAAAGTCACCGAAATTGTCATCCGAAATGTCGGAGATACAGAATCTCGGAATGTTGAAGATACAGAATCTCGGAACGTCGAAGTTACAAAATCTCGAAATGGCGTTGGTAACAGCTCTCCAAATAGTCCTCCCAACATCCCACTCTGAAATAGTCTCGGTCATGATGTCACCGATACCTCACCATCGATCTCTGTCCCATAGTAACCGAGAAGATAGAAGGTTAGGAGAAGAAGAAGAAGAAGAAGAAGAAGAAGAAGAAGAACTGAGAGGGGCAGAGGAGAAGGTGGAGATGGAGAGGTGGGGTGGAGGAAGATCCCCCAACCCGGATCCAGTGCTCAGGCACCAACCTGCAGGTGCAAGGTGTCGCCTTGGAGCCGCTGAAGACTTGCCCTCGCTGCTGGAGCTATGGCGCTCTCATGAGGTACCAGGTAAGTCGTGACTCTCTCTCTCTCTTGCCTGCAGCTAGCGCTGACCCAGCGCTCTGCCTGGAGCTGCGCTAATCTCAAAATAGTGCAGCGTTGCTCCTTGATGCCGCGTCCCAAACAGGCCGCTGGCCGGTACTAAGTACCGGCGGTGGCCTGTTCGACCTGGCTGCTGAGACCCGCGCCGTGATCTGGACTGTCGATTGCTTCAGAGGGTTCAGATCGGACCCGCGGGAAAGTGACAGCCTCAATATTCAGCCGCCAGGCTCAAACGGAAACGTTTAGGGCCTGCTGTTGCAGACCCGAGTCTGAACCGGTTTGCTGGGGCCTACCGTCGGCCTTTTCGAAGGTCCGGCCTTTAACCCAGGCCGGACTGGTCCCGCATGGCCACGGTCTGGGATAACCCCCTAGACCTAGCCGTCGGGCGTAAGAGGGGCCGTGTGGAATCCAGTATGTAACACACTCCCCCCCTTAAAAGACCGAGCTACCTGCGAGGGCGAAGTTGTCTGTCCGAAACCTGGGTGGGTCAGGAGGGACGAACTTTGTCCTTGGCGAGTCGCCATTGTTCATACTCAGAGAAGATGAGTGGTGCAGATGCCTGTAAGTCTGCTCGGGAGATCCAACGAGTGTCATTGGGATCGCATTGCTTGAATGTGACTTGGTTCTGCATTGGTTTGTTGCCATATTTGCGGTGCGTGATGACACGGTCAACTTCCTGATGTCCGTCCATGGAGGGCGGATCCTGTGATCGTCTGCCTGGAAACTCGCCAGTCGAAGGTGGTGTGTAAATTGCCAACTTCAATGCATGAAAGACCGGGTGCACGGTGAGGTGCGGCGGGATGTTGATCACAAAGGAAGGGCCTGCAGGGTCGTCGCCGGCTGCAGAAATTACCTTCCATGGTCCAAATCATTTGGGGAGGAGTTTGCGAGAGACGTCCTGTTCAACTGCGAATTCCTCAGCGAGGACCCAGACAAGGTCATTCTCACGGAAAGGACATGGGAGACGACGTCGGTTAGCTTGCTGTTGCATGCGGACCTGAGCCTTTTGCTTGTTTGCTTGGGCTTTGATCAGCAAGTCCTTGTACTTCCGAATGGAAGTGGGAGAGCAAGCGATGTCGTTGTCGGCGGCCCGGGGAAGAAGAAGATCGGCGAAGATACATCCTTTCGTATCGTGGTCGCTCACGATGTCTTTCGGAACACCATGGCTGCAAATCCTGCCTGTGTGCAAGAGTCATGCAAGCTCGGGCGCTGCAGCATGATACTTGCAAGGAAGAAATCTGGCGTACTTGCTCCAACGGTCAACGATCGCGAGAATGCCATCATGACCAAGGCGATTGCAGGGAAACGGGCCGGTAACATCCATAGCAATGGATAGGCACGATTCTTGCGGAATCGACATTGGTTTGAGTTCGCCATAAGGAAGCTGATGCCGTCCTTTGTTGCGCTGGCAAACTGCAGATGACTACACATATTTGTTGACGTCGTGAAGGACATCTTCCCAGTAAAAATGCTGACGAAGACATGGCAAAGTACAGGTAACGCCAAGGTGTGCCGAGAGTCGCGAGTCGTGGAATTCGCCAAGAAGGCGAGTACGCAAGATGCGATCGCGCTGCACGCATAACAAGTTCTTCCCTCGCGTGTGGAGAAGCAAATACCCGTGAGAGATGAGATAATGCCTGCCGGCGGGTGATTTGATGAAAGATCTGCATAAAGTGTTGAGTACTTCGGTTCGGACTTGTAACCATTGACGAAGTGCTGCTGCAAATCGTCGTCGAGCCGAAATGTATCGGGCACTAGGGCACACAAATTGTGTCGCCGTGATAGTGCATCCCCTGCTCGATTGGGGCCTGGAATATGGATGGGGTCGAAGTCGAATTGGTCGATGAAATACATCCGTCGGCCAATCGTGGGACGTCTTCGGTCCGTCCGTCGGAGGGATCGCATGCAAGAAACATATTCCCATCTCATCAACGTCGTTCCGAGAAATAACATCGCGAATCCTCGCTGCAGCGACCACGTGGCAACCAATCGAAGTGTGAGGGGGTGGGACCGTACGCGGGACTAACTCACCGTTCCGATCACGGATGTGAACGGTGCGGTTGTGGAAGTTCACGGGGTGGTCGGCGCTACGCAACCAAGACATGCCTAGAATCATGTCGAACTTGGTGTCGAGGATGTCAAAAGACACCGGCTCGCACGCAAGTGGCGCAAGTAAACCGGGACGCCGTCAACCCATCGGTCAATTGACTTTTGCGTGTGTCCATCCACGAGTGTTACATGCATTGGCTGTGTTCTCCTTCGAACACGGGGGCCGAGGCCAGCGCGGGCCATAAAGGCTTGGCTCATATAGTTGCGAGACGCTCCGCAATCAATCAAGGCACTGCAGATTGCCTTTCTGATCTGAATGCGGATATAGAGGAGGGGTGCGTTGGTTTCGACATACCTTTGAGAGGCGTGCTCGCGGTCGATCTTCGCAAGATAGGTGCGAATGTCGACAACCGCTACTCAATCCTCCGTCAACGGAGCTGGTACTGCAGCGTGCAAGTAAGCGTGTAGGTTGGCCATCAAGGCGTTGCAATGCAGCTTGGGCAAGGATCCGGTGGAGGGAAGAGGCAACCATTGGAAGTCCTCTCTCGTTAGCGGATCGAGATCCTCAAGTTTCGACCATGCCGACGAGTCCTCGGAATGTGTAGGTGAAAAGACTGGCTCTCTTTTTTGACGGTGCGAAAGCTGCGCATACGCTATCTTCATGCACGTGACTAGGCTGGTTCAATGGTGGGACCAGCTGGACTGCATAATCCTCGTACGAAATACGAGAATCATGAACTACCTCATTTTCCCCGGAGATGAAGTCGGTTGCTAGCAAGGCAACCGTTTCCGGTGGAGTGGGGAAAGTCGTCGTTGCAGTCCTTGCGGTGCTCAGTTTTCCGTGCTATTTGGATGGGGTCCACTAGGTTTGCTCTTGTCCGTGCATTGGGTGGTTGCGTGCTTGACGCTGTTGCACCAAAGACAGTAGTTGTACTTCAGGCGGAGGTGATAAACCTCCTCGCTAATGTGATACTGCGTCCACGGTTGCTGTACAGCTCCTTCTGACGCCTGGGTATTCGCCTTCTTCTTTCGAGCTCGTGTGCGTCGAGGAGGGATCGCTGCTACAACATCTCCTTCACCGGAGGCTGATGCAGCGGCGTGGTGTTCTTGTGATCCGGTTAGGATCGCATTTACATTGTGCCGCTCAAATCCTGGCTTTGCCACATAGGCCGGCTGTTGCTGACGACTTTCATTAGCCGCTCGCGTCCGTTTGTATGAGAATGTTCACTCTTGATATGACTGCGTCGAAGGTCTCGTACTGCAACTCGTTGTTGAGACCCGTGGTCAACCTGTCGCATGACCGAGAGAAGAACTCAGATCTCAAATCTTCGAGATCGAGATTGAATTTCGGAGTGGCGACAAACTTCTGCCACTTCGTCAACCATTCTCGGGTAGGCATCGTGCCTTGGCTGCAATGGTAGAGCTCGTTCATAACCGTCTTTCTCACGTTCCGGACCATGAATCGCGTCTGCCACAGCTGCTCAAACTCTTCCCAAGTAATCTTGGTGTGCAGTGTTGCGATCATATAGGCCTTTTGTAACGCCAAATTGTTCATGAAGGCCTGGCTGCCACCAATCAGATGGAGGTACAGCGCGTTGAGGCGCTGTTCGGGGGGAACGTGATGCACGTCGGCCTCCGTATTGAATGCAGTCCACCAAGCCAATGCGTCAGTCTTGTGATAATCGTCAAATTTGGCTACATTGAACTTGGGCATCTTGTACGCCTTGACGTTGTCTGGTCTCGACTTCAGATGACCCAACTCGACTTTGAGTGTCGTCACTTGGTTGGTGAGTGTCGTAGGAGCCTCGAACTGGCCCACCTCGCCAATCAAGCTGATGATGTGATCAATTCGTTGAGTGGTGGTGGCGGCTGCACTTTCGATTGCTGCTACACGCGGGTCCCATTGCTGGCTGGCTGCTGAACCTATTGGCTTAGCTGCTGGTGCATGGGCCTGCGCTTCAACCGTACTCAGGCGCATGGTAAGTGTGTCGTTGAGTTGGCACAAAGTCGTGAGGAGTTCGCTGAAACGCTGCTCCTCATTGTGTAGGATCTGTGTGCTTGCAGCACACTGTTGCTGTTGCACTGCTTCGGCTGCTTCTCGCTGTCGCTGCACCTGGACGGCTGCCTCGTTGGCCAGCCGTTGTGCAGCGGCAATCCGCTCCTGTTCGGCAGCGGCCAGGTCCATGAAGGCCTGGACACGCTGCAGGAACACGTCGGATGCCTCATCAGCGCCTTGGACTGGAAACGTTGGCAGAACCATCGTTCGCCGCCTCCTTGGTACCGTCGCTGTCGGGATGCGTGCTGCCGTCTGCTGTTGTCTGCCGAGAAGAGCTGCTATCCGAGGACTGCGTCGAGGAAGTACCACAGGTCGCTGACCTGCTGACATGAGTTGCTGCAGGGAACTGCAGTGACTACTATCGACAGTGTCCTTAGGCCGTCAGGGGGGAGGGGAGAACTAGGGGTGGGACAAGGGGATAGGGAACAGACAAGCATGCAGCTCCAAATCCCAATGTGGACTGACACACTAGTCAATAGGGGAAAAAAAAAAATTCCCCCAGACTATATTTTTGAAAGGGGCGGGGAGGAGGGCCGCCCCCCCACGCTCTCCTCAGCGTAGACAACCCAAGGGAAATTGGGTTCCCACGGGGGGACCAGGCCCATCCATGGTGCAACCTTCCTCCCGAGCACCACAACCATCGCCATCGGCATCACCTCACGCCGCACCGCAGCCAGCCCAGCCGCAAGGGGTCGCTTAAGCCGCATCAGAAGCTCCCGGCCCAGTTCCCACAGAAAAGCCTGTCTCTTCTCAGGCCTTGATCACGGCCAAGGGCTTTGTCACAGAACACGTTAACCCCATCTTCTCTCCAGGAGACCAGTCACGTCAGTCCTGGATTGACAAGCTGACAAGTACCCCCCTGGTTGTTGACCAGAGTCTTCGTCAGGAGAACTCAAATCGGTCTGTTGGCTCGGCGCGGACTTTGTCCGCAACCTTTAGGATCACTGATGGCTCTAATGCAGATATGGAAATAGGGACAGCGGTCCCTGGGCCATCAGCAATTCAGACCAAGGAGGTCGACCCGCTGCTATCAGTGCCCCTAGGCCCATATTTGTCAGAGGATGACAGTCCCAACGGCCCATCCTCTGCGGGGAAGGCGAGTCAGACACCTACCAAGAAGTCGCGTACTAACCCAGATGGAAGACAACAAGCTGAGGGGAGGGGACAGTTGAGGAATAGAGACAAAGGTAGAGTGGCTAGATCCSTGTCTGGGGCTCAGCCTATGACCACGAAGCCYAGGGGCGACAAGAACAAAATGGAAGAATATTTGGTCCCTCTCATCTGTGTCCCTTCTCCGGCAGGCCCRATGATTCTCTCGTTTAYTCCTTCTRACGGGATTCTGGATATGCCCATTGCTAGGGTGGAGGGACAGCCCTCTGAGCTGGACATTCTGGGTCACACTCGCAAGATTTTAAAGGGGATATGTTATGCAAGGCTCTTGCCGGAACCAAAAGTCAGCAGATRTGTGYTCGATTGGGCCTCCGGGAAAAGAGYCTGTAAAGCATGCATCCATTTTGCCTTTTTGAATATCCAGCTGCCAACTGAGACCCTGGAGAAACTGCGGGCCCTGAATCCTTATTGGATTCCCCTGCAGCAGTTTACACAAGCCTCTAACCCAATCTTGAAGAAGATATATATGGCTGAAGGGATCACTGCCCAGATTGTCTYCGRYTGGATTAAACATGCGGCTTTGCAGGATTACCTTTCATCCGCTGATTTTGAGTCGGTTTTGACGAGCCCTTGGGCTCTGACAGAGCTCCATCCGGGAGACAAGGAAGAGGATAAACGCAAGAAGATTCCTGCTGGCACGCACCGCCTGATCCAATCCAAGGGCGGCGAGGCTGGACTGTCTGATGGTCCTCCCAAGCCGTCTCTGCTTTGTTAGTTGGAATGTGCGAGGCCTCAACGATCCTAATGGTCGGCAACGTAGCCGTATCCGCAGTGGATACATTCGCAGGCTGCCCATGTCATTTGTTTACAAGAGACTAAACTTTGCCCAGCTCGGATAACAGAACTAGGAAACTGGTGGCCAAGGCCACAGTTATGGGCACCGGCGACGGGTACCAGGGGTGGTACGGCGATCCTTGTACACAAGGATTTGGATATTTTAATTATTGACAGTTTTATTGACCTACAAGGTCGCTTCGTCTGGGTTAAAATGCAAGTGGGAGAGGAAGAATGGGGTGTGGTGTCTATTTACGCTCCTGTGGAGTATGGGGAGCGCTGCAATTTCTTTGCGGACCTGCCAGGGTTCTTGCCAGACACGGAAAATCTTCTTATAGGTGCTGATTGGAATACAGTCCTTAGTCCTGGACTTGACACCCCGCGTCTAACCCCTCCACGGAGGGATACTAGGCTGTTGGCGGAACTCATGGATATGCAGTCCTTGGTGGATGCCTATCGGATTCTGAATCCCAACTCTCAT